TTATTATTTTTTCAGGTGATTTTTATACTTAAAGTTCAGGGTAATCAACTGTTAAAAACATACTTTTCACATTTTTTTTTTCTCCAATAAATTGATGTTTTCAAAGTAAATGGATAATCGTTTTTAATAATCGTGATATCAATTATTGACCCAAATAATCGAGATTATGATTTTTGCCATAATCGAGCAGCCCTACTTCACAGTTCACAGCAAACCTTCTATTATCTTAACTAAAAACTATTTTGGAGGGGCTTTTTTATTTCAATTACATTGTGCCATTGATATGTACCGGTACATTTAATGTTTTTCAAACGCTGCAATTTAAACATAATTAAGCAAATCTACATCTACAGGAAAGGCAAAACTATTATAATTCAAGAAATGTATTGCTTTAATTGTATATTTCATGCTATGTGTTTCTGCTACTGTCTTGCAGATGTTTACATCAGTGAGGGTCTTTAGGTTGAGTAATGCCAATCTTACTAACCAAGGCTTGAACAAGATCTTCACTGACCTTTGTGAGAATCTGCTAAAGGTAAGAAGGCCTCTATTGATCAGTTGGTAACTACGTCCTCTTTGGTGCAATACTTATCCTTTGTAACGGGCATGTGTAAGGCTGTTAAACTCTGACAATGGTCCTTGTATTTCTTGTGTTTTGAATAAAGAGTTTCATGTAATTTCAATGTGTTTTTGTTTCAGAGTTTTTACTTCAAGTTGCGCTCAATGATCCCCTGCTGTCTGTGTAAGCTCAACTTCACTGTAGCAGTACCAGAAGAAGAACTCATACAGGTGAGAGGCTTCAGGCCATCTCTGATTTTTGAAATGGCAACAAAACTGAATTTATGAGTCAAATCAAATTAAAAAAAAAACAAAAAAAAAAAACGTTTCTCATATCTATTAATGTGCCTCTGCCTTGCAGGTTGCAGTTACAGCTGTTGCCATGACATTTGACAAAGACCAGAATCAGGAGAGGCCGGCAGACAAGCCCCCCACCAAAGGTACAGTATATCTGGTTAAAGGGAGTTATTGATTGTTTTAGGGTATGTTTTTAACATTTTATTCTCACACAAAGTCAGACAATAACTTCAATACCTTGAGGTTTTATATAATGCAGGGTTAGTCTTGTGTTAAAAGCTTTATTTAAAAAAAAAACCATTCCATTGCAACATACTGTGGAACTACAAATAGTTATTCATATTTAACCACTGTAAGTTTGAGATATGCGTTTCCTGTGTTGCTTTTCTATTAGAACATTTTGATTAGGAATGCCATCTACTGTATCTTTAAAAGCTTTAACGCTGTATCTCTGAGCTGTGATTGGCTAGTGTTAGTATTCAACAAACCTTCAAACTACTTGCAAAAAAACAGGTTGTTTCAGAAGTAGTGAAGTAAGCAAACGGAACAGAACCACAAAAGAAAAAACATCTCTTTGGTTGTGTTCGAAATCTAGATCACCGGAGTGATTCTATGTGCTTCTTTCCAGGAGGAGGTGAGACTGAAGAGCAGCTGCAGTTCCCCATGGAGTTATGTGCAGACGCAGCAGCAGGCAACACTCAGCAAGCATCCAAAACCTCAGGTAGCCTTTTAAAAAGAAATTGTTTTAATTTCTTCCTGACCACCTCCTCCATCCTGCTTGAATAACAGGCACTGCCCATCTCCTCCACTAACAACTATAGGTACAGTCTCTTTACTCACCCCATCCGCAAAGCTCTGCCACAATCAGCTGGTGATGGTTCGTTTACCAGGTAAATAAACAGTCGTGGGTCATAGCCCAGTGTGTTCAGTTTGAAGTGAACTTAGATGACCGTGTGGTGTTGTCTAGATGAGATGTCATGCTCGAAAAGCAGCATGGCTTACCTTTCATTCACTTGAATTGAACAATGAGCAAGCAGCTGGTCCCGGCTATAGTACTGACTATAAAAGGAGCATTTGGATGTGCAAAAGATGTATGAGAAGGTGAAAGCTAAGTAACACATGCTGTGTAGGCCTTGTGGCAAGGGACTGTTGAAGCCTTTTCGCTCCCTGCCAAGTTAGATTTTGACGTGTGTTTGTGTGTGTGTGTGTGTGTGTGTGACAGGTTTCCCAGAGAGCACCAACGTCTCATCCAGAGGTGAGCCTCTTTCCCCCCCACCCTCTCTCCCTGCTACCTCAACTACTACACTTCTGTTTTGGACTTTCATTCTATTTACCTCGGACAGAGTTATCCTGCATCACTCCCAAACCTCATCCACTTTTGTTTCTTTTATGTTTGTTGTATTTGTCCTGTTTTCTTTCTTCTTTTGTTCTCTTGTTGTCGTTGTTGTTGCGTTTGTGTATGTTTGGTTGTGGGCTGTGTTTGTGTGTGTGTGTTTGTGTTTGTGTGTCTGTGTTCTCTCCAGCTGCCTCCGTTGATTACGGTTCCTTTGCAGACAGATGCAGCACCTGGCTAGAGCTGCTTAGGCTGAAAGCTCACACCATAAGACGAGGATCAGTTAAGACAAGTAGGAGGACACAGTCTCTAGCACACTCCGGTGATGATACCCACAAATACAGAACACCGTTTCACGAGCAACCACACACACAAACACACACAAACACACACACAAACAATGACAAACCCCTCCATGCATGCCGCTGGGGGGCGGAGCAACGTAAATGAAACACCAGCTTTTAGCTTGAGTTTGAACGTTGAAGCCCCGCCCCTCAGAAGGATCCACAAGCAGCTGCTTGGCTTTGAAATACCTGTAGCCATGGCAAATATGATGACAAATTATCTGTAAGGGTTAAATGTATCAATTTGATGAAAATAACTGGAGGAATTCCAGTGACTTGATTTCTTTCTCAGCACGCATGAGTGAATGTACCTAAGCTGAGATGCCATGTTTTAAGGATAAACTGTAAAAACTAATTGGGACACATAAAATGTGGTATCAATGTGGGGTGGGCAGGGGGCATTGCTTTTCTGCAAGCTCTGGTTGGATTTTCAGTCCTGTGCACATAAGTGAACTACAATCTAACGTGTGGCTCTGAAGGTTCCTGGTTTGATGGATGTAAGCCACGTCAGGTAAATCTGCAGTAAGATGATGGAGCATCTTTCACACTCTGGCTCGTGTACATGTGCCCAGCTCAGCTCATAGCAGTCTATGTCCGTCTCCATTTCTCAAGCTTCTTTCACAAATGAAAAATTATCTAAACATGTTCTCGTGTACTTCACTGTACAGCAAAAACTGTATTCACACTTGTAAGCATACACAGCTGTGTCCAGGTCTGTCCGTCTGTCTGCAGACACTGTTTAACTGTCTTGTCTGTTTGCTTCAACTGCACGGTATGCATGGCAGCGCACGCTTTCCAAGTGATTGTCTTGGCACCACACATCCTCACCACTGCATGTCAAGTCACACACTCACACACACAACTGACATACTCACAGATAGGTGCATATACTGTATGTTAGTCCAGCCGTGAAAAAGCTAACAGGATTTTTGCACAAACATTTCACATTCACATTTCTTTCTGCTTTAAAGTTCATATCTGTTTTTATTTTCCCACAATTTTTTATTTTCTGGTTTCTCCATTCCTTTTCGTCTTTTTTCCTTTTCCTCTCCTCTTGTTTTCTTTTCACATGTCCCTGTTTTGGACCTCTGCCTGCTCTGTCTGAACTTACAGTCTCATCTTTGGAGCGCTGCAGTCCGCTGCCCGAGGGACGCTCTCGCTCGCTGCGCTCCACACGCTCGTTCGGGAGCAGTTCAGTTGCCGTGGTGAAGATGACGCCGCTCTCTTTCCTCCCTGGGACACGCATCATCAAATACCTTGGGATCATCAACATGTTTTTCATAAGAGAGACAACATCGTTACGGGAGGTATGACTGCAAAGACGAGCTACACATGCAAAGGCCCCAGGTTCTTTGTTCAAAGTTTAGACATCCCTGATATGTGTGTGTTTGACCTCTGCAGGAAGGTGGTGTCAGTGGCTTCCTCCATTCCTTCATAGCAGAGGTGTTTGCCATGGTTCGAGCCCATGTAGCAGCCCTGGGTGGGAATGCAGTGGTGTCCTACAGCATGAAGGAGTGTATGTTGATGGAAAATCCAAACAAGAACCAGGTACCCTCCCACACGCACAGACGTATTTACCTATTACATTCCATCTATACATTAGTGTTGGCCTGTCATGACTACTTATTAATTATTCCAACAAGACAATGTCAGTTTAAAACCTGATTATAATAATAATGAAAAAGTTAAATCATGCAAATACACCGTTTTACAACCACTTAACTCTTGAGAATATTCAGTCATTGGAATTGGATTGTGAAAAAGATATTAAAATATCCAAAATAAATAAATATAATTTTAAAACACAATCAGAACAATAAATAATATGGACTCTTCAAGCTCTCTCAACAAGATTTCAATTGACATTCATATAAAACATTTCACATATGGATATAAAGAATCCTTAAGTCCTTAGGTCATACACTACAGGTCAAACAGGACCATTCCAGTTTTTAAATGGTTAGAACCTTCTTTCTTTTTACAAATGTGCAAATGATGAACATATTAGCATATTAGTAACAACAACAAAATGTCTCTCTAACTCTACTTAATCCCAAAATGTTCCTACACCGGAGCTGTGGACAAAAGTAATTATAGTAACAGGCCTACATGTAAGCACAATGACTAACTCTCTGCATCCTCAGGTCTCACAGTTCTTCTTATAGATTAATCTGCCTGTCTTTTTTCTTCCTCAAGGCTCAGTGCCTCATTAATGTGAGTGGGGATGCCGTCATCTGTGTCAGGGAGACGGACCCGGAGCCAACTCCCTCAACCTCAAATATCGGACAGATCTGCCCTAGTGGAACAGATGTGACTACATGACAGTGAAACACTGAGCCTCACCTTGTTTGCAGGACACACAATCTGAGTGGAAACGCCCTCTGAGTCTAGCCGTCCAAATACGAGTAATTTCTGTCTGCCTTAAAACTCTGTAAAAGATCCAAAGGTTTGGACGCAGGCAACAAAGAATTACTCGCACACTTCAAAAAATGCAGTCTGGATTAATATGGGAGTGCAGGGTGTCTGTGTTTTTCTCTGTGTCAAGCATGAGAGCATTTGCAGGTACTGATGTATCTCTTTGGGAATTAAGTAATGTGAGGGTTTTTTTAACAGAAGTCTAAGGATGCCTCTGTATTTTGCCTATGTATTACATCCGTCCATATTGGTGACACCCGTGTGTCTGCATTTACTTTGAGTTTGGGCAGAAGTGACGTGTGAGGCAGCTATGACTAATGTGTCCATCCACAGCTCACAGGGAAAGTCATGGCCTCGCGAAAAAATACACCGTTGTAAACCATCAATTAATTTGATTGATGTCATTTGTGTTGGGCTCTGTTTTAGAGCAACTTGCAAATTGAAAGGCCAATCTATCTATTTCAGAGCAGCCACATAATGACCTTCAAACAAGGCAAGTGTTTCAACTTCAACAAAGCTGGTGCTATTCCTCAAAATTGCTCACTAGAAGGAAAATTTGAAGTGAAAAACAATACAGACAACAATTTGATGCCATTTTGTTAAAATTATCTACGTGTTCATTGGTGTCCAGTTCTCATGTCCAAATTAGGTTTTGTACGAATTGTGTTGATAGATAATCTTCTTAATCAGTTACAGTATTGTTCACAGGCAGCATCCTAGAGATAGTTACATTTCTTCAGAAAGTGTCAAGTAATGATGTTATCTATAATAAATAAACAAAAACAGGCCAGTGTTTCTGGTGTATGCACATATTTTTGAAGGGCAATCATTTCCCTTTAGAACAGCCATCACTGTGTATTCCAGTGACTATTTTATTGATAAAAACGATTTTTGTATTGCTTCATTTTGAAATCGACAAATCAAGTGGCATGTGTATGCCTTTTTATTTACTCATCAGGAGTGGGTGAGTTAATGGTTAAGGGAATAATGTCGCACTTTGGGTCTGAGCAGCAGGGATGTTTCATATGGGAAAAGCCTTTGAGATAGTTTTGATTAATTAAAACTTTAGTAATCTGACTGAAGCAACTCTTCCATCACTTGTAGCTCTGGTATAACTAACTCTTCTTGATGCATCATGCGATCACTGTCAGATTTCACATACCTTTGTCAATCTTTATTACTTTTGCTCATGTTCTATATATAATCCTGATCCGTCCGGATTTTATATTTATGTCTAATGCTGGAAACAAGCATCTCATGGTTGTAGGTGCAACATAAAAAACTGTGTAAATGTTCTCTAACATCAGATTTTAGTATTTTTGTAACATAACATGTATGAAACCTACAGCTCATTTTGCCTGTACAATGAATTTATGATGTGTTTGGACTCAGTGACAGAAATTAATGGTACTCTAAACTGTCGGTGATGAGTTTCAGATATCTGTGTCTAAAACTTGAATGTACATATTAAAATACTTTTGCTTCCTGACTAGCAGCATGCAGATTACTTTTTTAGTGCCATGCTTGCCTGGTAAGTATTGCACAATAAACTCAGTCAAACCAAGATGCATCCGTTTGATCATTATTTTTGAAAAGTGAATAAAATATGTATACCAATTACATTTTTGTTGGCTGTTTATAGTGGGCCATTGGCTTCAATTCTTATAGCCTACCTATGCATTCAATTTACCCAATAATGTTTGACAGGACTGTAAAACAAGAACCCAGAAAACTATGGAATGCCATTTAAGCCATAAATAATTAAATACATATATAAATAAATATGCCTAGAAAATAAATTCTGAAATAGATAAGGCTATATATGTACATTTATTTATTTAATGGGACTTTTATTTCACAATGCCACATTTATTTATTTCAGGGGACTTTTATTTCACAATGCCACATTTATTTATTTCAGGGGACTTTTATTTCACAATGCCACATTTATTTATTTCAGACCACATTACGGCCCAATCCCAAACCACGCCCTACACACTACCCCTCGTGAGTGAACTCTATGGAGTCAGATTTGGGTCAATATTCTAGCGCGCAAAACAAGCTACTCTCGAGCGGAAAATGTGCTTTTACAAGCGCATGAAATGACCCTCGCACGCAGAGACAGCCCTCTTGCTCGCTCGTGGGAGTGTCAGGCTGCAGTCGAATAGTCCATTTAGCTTAGGAACCTTCCTAACTGAGTGAAATGACCCGGAAGTCCCTCAGTGGCAGCCATGATAAGTGCCGTTTGAATTCTCTAAATGAAAGGAAAGGAGGTTTCAAACTTCCTTTATAAACTCCTTTAGCTTAGGAACCACTGGACCTCCCTTACCGAAAGGAGAGGAGAAAATGCTGCCCCACAATGCCTTGCAGCCGCAGCATTTGCCGTCACACAACACTCGGCCGTTCACGGAAACAAACGATTATGACGGAGAAGTTA